CGCGGGGCCGAGCCGGGCAGGGGGGCGGCTGCAGCCCTTCTCGCCCCGAGCGTGAGGGCACTTCAGCTCCTTATCTGGGGAGGAACTTTAGGGACTTGCTGCCCTTGCACAAGCACGGTTGCGGCCAGAGGGGAAGGGTTCTTCATCATCATTGCCATCATCGCCATCATCATCATTATCAAGGGAACCCGTTTCCCCCAGAGAAAAACTAGGCGCTGGCTTGCTCAGTGGTGCCCTTCTCGTCCTCTGTCAGGCATGAACTAACTTCAGGAGCATTTGTCCAGCGGAAACACCCTTTGCAGTAAGGGGGTGTGAAGTCCTCCCCAGGAAGACGCTGGGGTCAAGGGGACCAAAGGGAGAGGGTGCCCTGGGGCAGGGGTCTGATACCTCTGTTTTTGCAGAGGCTGCAGTTAACAGGGATGTGCCAAAACTGATACCTGCAAATTTACCTCATCTCCTGTCGACTGGCCAGTGAGTGGAAATCAGGTTGCCAGAATCTTGCATTATTTTCTACCGAAGCTGACCTCTGGATAACAATAGCCCCTGTGCGCATGAGGTTTCCTCTGAAGGAGCACGGACTTCTGTGATCGTACAATTGGACCTCACTCGCCATGAGCTAAAATACCCAGCCATGTCCTGCTCCATATCCTACACTGCATATCATGAATGTGAACACTGGTGTTACAGCAGCTTCTGTCCTGAAAGCTACTAAACGCAGAACTGGTTGTTTCAGGCCACAAAAGTGATGGTGAATTACTGTGTTGCAAGGCAGCTACATCATCATAATTTTGCTCATGCCCACAGGGACTCCAAATGCCTGACTTCAAAGCACAACATCCAGCTAATCGATCTTCGGGTAGATGGTAGTTGTAGCTAATTACAGAAGGAGGGCTATACTCCCTGGGCCCAGGGACCTCGCATAGATGCGTTTGCGTCTTGCACTAAATCCATGGCGAGCGTTAGTGATAACCACGGTGGTGACAGGACCCTCCTGCCCTGGAGCTGCACAAGCTGGGATGCTGGAGCTGGAAAACGCTCCCAGGCTTTAGTGGGGCGAGGCATTTCAAAGCACTGTGAAGAGCAGGGAACCCTGCACCCCCGAAATCAAATGAACAAACACAATATTGGGAATCTGATAAAGCAGAATCTCCTGATGGCCATAGCATCCCCCCAGTCTCTGTAGCTCTCTGTGGGTTTTTCCTGTGTGCTGTGTTTTCAGCAAGCTGCAGCGTAGCCGCGGTCTTAAGACAGTTGCAGAGTTTGGAAACACACAACTTCAGATAACAAAGTACTCGAAGATAGTTTTATACAGCCTTGAGAGGAGAAACTATGGGTAGTGTTAACTCTTGCCAGGCCTCGCTGTTATCCATCCCCGACCCAGAAGGCAGGAATCCAGCAAAGACTTTTTGCAGTTCCTTCTGAGTTTGCTGTTCTGTATCTAGATAGTATGACACAAGAACCCTGAAATGCTTAAAAGATAAGGCTTGAAGAATTATTACAAATTTCTTACAAACTTAATTCTTCTTAGATCAGGTTTGTTTATGCATCTATTATTCTGTTGATAGCTACCAAATGGACTTGAGTAGGGCTTGTGCAGCAGAAAACAGGTGAAGTTCTTGTGTGTTAGCAACTGAAATTACACCAATTCCCCTACTGACATTTTAAATTGCTAATTCTTCTCTGAAGAAAGGTCTGAGCTAATTTGTACAACTCGAATGTGAATTATATTGTGTTACTGTTTTCCTCAGAACAATATGCATATGATATTATTGTTCATATATACTTATATGTATACACACAATGCTACAATTTCCTAACGCTCTGGACTGATATGGTCCTCAGATTGCATACTCTGTTCAAAACAGCAGCGTGCTTCCAGAAAGATGCTGACAGTTTGAAAAGAATTGGGAGCAAAAAGGAAAAATAAGAGGTCCCGTAAGGAAAAAAAAAAAACAAACCAAAACCAAAACCAAAGATCCAGGACTGGTTAGTCTAGAGAAGAGGAAAACTGAGAGAGATGTCTTTGAATATGCAACAGGTTGTTGCTGAAGGAAAGGGAATGCCTGTGGTCTGTGTCCCACGAAGCGGGACGGGGGTGGAGGACTGACGCTGGAAGGAGGAACCGGGTGGGAGAGGTGCTGTGCACTGGGGTTGCACCAAGTAGCAAAATTCCTGCTTTTTTTTGAAGTTGCACCCCCCACAGTTTGCAGGTCCGCTGTGTTCTTAGTAAGGCCGGTTAGTTATCTAGGCCATCTGGCTTAGTAGCTAAGGCTGGCTGAGCTAGATAAACTGACACATTTTGGAAAAGCCTCTATATATGCTGGAGGCTTGTGACCACTGTCCTTTTGAATTACGTTCATTCCAGCCCATGAAGTGTTGCCCTGGGAATGCTGTCGGGATATCATCATCCCTTGTTGGCTGCTGGCTGAGTTTCTGCTGTGCTTTGGGCTCTGGGTGGCTTGCAGTCTGCCCAGGAAAAGCTGATGCAAATAGGAAAGGGAAAAGCCCTAAGCAGGCAGCAGTGCAAACTTTGGGCATGATCGCCCCGAGCCAGAGTCGGGGGCCCGGTGGGTTCGGCTGTGCCGGGATGCCGGGGGGCGAGGGGGGAGCGATATCCCTCCTGTGCTTCTTGTGGGCTGGGATTTGCTGTCGGGACTCCTGAACTGGGGAAAAGGGCTTGGGAGACTTTAACTTGGCTCCTTTCCCTTGCTATCCTCCGCCCTTTTTGCCCTTTTTTCTTCTTTTTTTTCTGGCCTTATATTAGCAACCTGTGTCAATGATACAGCATCAAAGCAATTTAGAATTCCTAAATAAGTGATTAAAAAAATGCAGGACTGACATACCATGCAGTGCTCAGCTGTATTGCATATTTTTCATACCACAGACTGATACTGCTGTTTAGTTTATGCCTAAAACTATAATATAAACATAGCTAGGTTTTGCTATGTGATCTTTGCATTTAGAATTTCCTGTGGCTGGAGCAAGCCTCAACATATGTGTGTGATAGGCATGCAAAGGAGTAACTACATTAGTTTAAAAGCTTTCTTTTGGGAAAAAGAAAGAAAAAGAAAGAAATATTCTAGTACACTAGCTTGACATTTTTACATAGAAACACAATGTATTTGCTTATGGCACTGCAGAACGGTCAAACACAGCAGTCCTGGTAGCGAGGTGCCTTTCATATAGGGTTGTAGACAACCAGGAACGGAGGAGCTGAAGCAATGGGAACTAATGTGTAGGTACCTGTCTGTATCTGCTTGTCCAGTAAAGCATGAGCCAGAGAACGAATTTTGTGGGTGTTCAGGCATGAAATAAGCACTGCTGAAGGATAACGCTCTGGGTGTGTACCAGGAGAGAAGAGGAAGGGACAGGGTAATTGCTGGAAGTTGTACTACCAAGTCCTACCTGTTGTTAGGGAACTGGTAGTCCTGCCTTGCAATAACGCTATCGCTGCTTTTGAATGTGGACTAAGAAATGAAGAAAGTGCAACTGCTGGTGGCCTGGTCACCAAAAATAGCCAGTGGGCGGGGGTAGAAGGTCACCCTCTCCTCATCTGAAATGCTGGTCCTAACTGCAGGGTGCTGCTATATTGAGGTGGCTGAAACCTGAGGAAAGTGTGGCTATGTTATTTTATCGTTTGGGCTGTGGTGAGTCATGAAAGCTTGTTCCTGAAGCTCATGAACAAAGTCAGGTTCCTGAAGATAGTCTAGGAGAATCACTTAATCCCTGGACCTGTGTAACCATCACAGTGATTTGGAGCAATTGCTGTTGTCAGTTCTGGGTTTTGCTTATTCAGTATTTTAGGGCTGATTTGTTGCTGCAGTATGGCAGACAATAAAACTAAGATAAAGCTAGGCTAGGAATGTTACCTGTTTTAAAACTGGCTGTGTGCTGTTAACTCTCCTCTTTCCTCTTGCAGGAACAGACTCAATGCTTCACGGGAAGTAGCCCCAGTAACCCTCCCGAACTGCCGGCTCATTAAAGGGATTGGTATGTGCTCAAAATAACTGAGTGCATTGCTTTTGTCCAGCCTTGTTTTGAAACTGCTTCTTAAAGCCAGCTTCCAAGCCTGATCCTGAAAACAAAGTGCTAATTTGACTTTCATTTGTTGCTTGGACTTTGAGCAGGGAGAAGCTGCAGGAAGAAAGTTATACGGAAAAACTCGCTAGTTTGGTATAATACTTTTTGCCTTTGGTATTTAATGTTTCTGTTCCTTTTCTTGAAAATGAGTACCTTGAAAACACTTGTCCTTTGCTCAACCACTTAGGAAGTTATTTGGCTTTTAGATGAGGGTGTGCTGGCTCTTCAGGCAGGTACCTACAGGTGGCTGTCAGCTGCTGATGTCTTGAAGACAGGACATGCTGCAAGGGTGGAAGCTTTGGGAGAAGGCATGTGGTGAGGGAGCAGCTGCTAAATGCCAGCCAGGATCGCCCGCCTTAGCGCCTCATTTTTGCGGAGATTTAGGAGCGGGCTGGTACCACGCCGTGCAAACGGCAGGCAAGAGCTCGGTGCGGTTGCACAATTCAGCTGTGGGGTTTCAAAGAGCAGGGGGTCATGTTTGTCATCCTAGTCTGGTTTGTGAAGAGGTTTAACAGAGTGGCTGAAATGTTGACTTTGTACTTTGGGTCATGTGTTTAGCACATGGCAATGTTTCTGTCTTGCTTTTTCTCTCCCTTTAGGGTAATCGGAGTATAAAATGGATAGCTTTAAAATTGATAGCTTTTTTGTGTCTCACTTTCCCCCAAATTATAATTTTTAAACTTAATACAAGCTTAATGGGTGGGGGTTTTCTCCTCCTTAGTATTTTCGGAAATGTCTTGAATTCTGTTGAAATTTGCCTGGCTTTTGCATGTGTAAAAAGTCACTGGATGAGCTTTAAGAGCCTTGCTGCCTTTGAGCTTGCTGAGTCACTGTACTGGTTTCATAAATCTTGCTTCTTCCTTGTGTCAGGAATCAAACATCTTTGTAAAGTCAAATTACTGGCATGAATGAGTGTGTGCAGGGTTCCTTTGCCTGAGGCTACATGCAGAAGAAATTGCATTTGAAAAAACTTTGCAGGTCTTCTAGATTGAGCTGTAATTTACTCATACAAGACTCTGAATAATGCTTGTTTGATGGTGATTCACATGAAAATAATTGCTGAGTAATTCTTGTAAGCATATCACTATTGCAATTGTTACAAGACTTTTTGCAACACGATTGCTCTGTTGAGGAAAGAAGGAAAGCTGGAAATTGCAAATACAGTTGTGTTTAATTTCTGAATGATATCTCATTTTTGGTGCCTGATATTTATATGGAGATTAGGCAAATTTTGAGAACCTGGCTCTGCTCAGAGGTGGTGGCAGATCAATTTACAGAGCTTCGTTTCTGCTTCTCGCTGTGCTCCTGTAACACTGTCCCTTCTCAAGCATCTCTGCACCTTGCCTTGCCTTTGCTCTGTCATTTGCTGCTCTTTAGAAAAACTAAAATGCCAAAAATTCATTCAGCAGGTCCGATGTGGCAGAAAGAGAAATAAGAAAGGTTTAATGCAAACTTAAGAGTTGGCATGTTCACTCAAATGTCTTCCAAAATTCATTTAATATGACTGAGGGGTTATATTACTCAGGGAGACCAAGGAGCCCTAACGTCTAGATGCTGCCTCGATAGCACTATTCAGACCAGGGGTTTTGCTGTACTCAGATCTGTAAGGTTGCTCCTGTGGGTGACTTTGTGTAAGGATATCTTTCTACATGGACATCTTGGTCCTCCTCGGCCTTTTTTCTTTAAAATGCTGTCATAAAGTTGAATAAACAATCTGTCTTTATTTTAATCTTTAAACCGGTCCTTCTGACTTCTTAAGTGGGACGTAGGTAATGAGCTGGATCAGCTCTGAACAAAAGAATCTTAAACTATCCATTCTGTACATAGAACAGGCATCTGGTACAGTCTATTGTAATGATGTTAAAAGCGATGCATCCATAGTAAAGGAAGCAAACCCAGAGTAAATGGAAAAATTCTCTAGTGGACCCTTTTCTTTCTGCACAGTTTCATCCTTTCTGTGTCTCTCTCTTTTTTTTTTAAGACTTTGACCTATTCTGCTTTTCAAATATTGTGAAATGTAAGCACAGATGCAAACATTGAACAAACCAATAAAAAACTGCAGCTTGTCCTAAACCTCATTCACAGATATGTAGGAAAGGCTACATTTGTAGAACAAACAGTATCTTCTGGATTCTGGAGTTATAACTTGATACTGATTTATAGTAAACTAACTATATGTCTTGAACTAATTCCTGAAGTTCAAGAAGCTATAGAAATTGCTAGAAATACTTGCATCTTGGAACAATTCATGGGACACAGGCGAAATAGTTGCTTGCTTTTGGACATGAAATCCAAGGTTTGTTTGGGTTTTTTTTGTTGGGTGCGCCTGCAGAATACATCATACTAAGATAAAATAAGTTACAAAAAAATGAAATGTTTTTAGGGTAGACAGTAATTTTTCTCAGTATCTTTAATTTTTTTTTCAAACACTCCTTATTCAGATAATGCCATGGACAAGCTGGGCTCAGTGATAAAATTAAGCAATATGTAGTGCAGGTAACTGATACCTAATAAATCAGTTCCTAACTCTCCAGTCCCATATAGCGCCTGTGACAGCAGCCCAGAGCCCTCCCAAAATGCAGGAGAGCCCGGGAGCTTCCTCGTGTCCGGCTGTGTGTCTCCATCCCCTCCTGGCCGCCTCGGCGGTGCCAGCTCAGCAGGATCGTGCTGAATCAGCATTTTGCTGCTCTTCCCATGGCGCTCGCTCTCTTCCACACATACCAGGTCCTGGCTGAGAAGTGGCCAAAATGTGCTTTGCTGGGCAGTTTCTTTTGAAGTAGTTGGGTGCAGGGGTCTCATTACACTCCTTCCACCAGAAACTTGTACTTTTTAATTATCTGCTCCCAATCAGCCTGCTCATCTTTCTGCTTGGCAGCCTCACTAATTCAGTAGCGATAAATGATTATATCTCTGTTTATTTACTCACCTACGTGCTCTGTCAGTAAAAGCTGTCTGTCCAAGCTCACGTCACCATGGTAAATGAGCCTCTCCACATTTCGTTACGTTGTTGTCTTTGCAGCAATCCCAGGAAGCGGAGAATCTCTGCTAACCCCATTTTATCAATGAACCCAGATTTGGAGAGACCAAGAGCTGGGGCAAAGAAAAGGAGCTTGTTGCTTAAACCAGGGTGTGAGCTGAGCTGAAACAAAGCAAATTCAAAATTTTAGTTGGAAAACACAGGCTCTAAATGTCCCTGGGCACATCAGTGCAGATATCTGCCTCCTGCCTGAGACCCGTCGAAATTCAGAACCAAAACCCAGGAGGTGGGATAATGGGCTGGCACCCCCCAAAATGCATCTTCAGACCTTTTGCTCTTCAGAAGGCAGGGATGCTCCGCTCGTTAGTGTAACGGGGTGGAGCAGGGGTTTGCTGAGGCTGAGGAGGAGCTGGCCCTGTCCCCTGTCCCTCCAGGACAAGTCATGCCACCAGGTCTCCCCAGGGCTGAGCTGGGGAGGAACTTGCCTGAATGGGTGAATTTGGGGATCTGGTTCCTCCCCACAAGGGCTATTCGGTGGCCCCAGGATAAATTACAGCCTGGCCGAATTAGTGCCGGGATAAATAGGAGTTACATAAAAGCAACCAACGAACCCAGCTGGAATTTGCAGGCGCTTCCTCGGGAGGAGGTGCCGAGGTGCCGGGGTAGTGGGACCCTTGTAGGGTCTCGTGGGGGGTCTGTGCCCAAGCCGGAGCGGGTGTGGAGAGATGGGACAAGCTGGGTGGAAAACCTCTGTGTTGGCGGCTCTGTTAAAGAAAACCTGCAGAATAATTTCCTCCTTTGAAGCAAATGCTCTGGCGTGGGTTTAATCCAGCCATCGTCTGGAAAGTGGCTTGTGGGGAATGTGCTGGTGATGTGGAGAAGAGAGGGGAGGCTTCTCAGGGGAGTGGTGAAAATGTGGGATGGCAAACATGCTTCAGCATCGGACTGAAAGCTCTATGAAAAGTTCTTGATCAAAGCCTAAAATTGCTCTAGTGTTCTTACTAAAGGGATTTTATTTTATTTTATATTTTATTTTGTTTTATTTTATTTTATTTTATTTTATTTTATTTTAT